AGAGTCAGCATATCGCCCCCACAGTCCGTGTCCTCATTTCACCCACCTCGGAAGGATGGAAGGCTGAGTCAACCCTGAGCCTTTGAGATTTGAACCGCTGAACTGCAGATAACAGTCAGCTGAACTGTACTGCAGTACTGCACCCCTAACCACTGCGCCACCTCGGCTTTTCCCATCGGGACGAGCTCAAAGCTCTGGGGAGGGTCTTCCTTTAAGCCCCAGCTGTTAACTTGAGTCATACCGAGAGAAGCCCCTTCCCAAACATTCATGACTCCCCCGAGGGTCTTTTTGGAACGAGTCCCAAATTCCCCGGAGGGCTCTTTCTTTCAGAGAGGCCAACTCTGAGCCAGGGCGGCTGGGGAGAGGTGGGTGCGAGGGGGGCCCAGCCCCTGGACCATGGGCAGTGCAAGGGGAGGGGTGGCTAGAGAGCCCCAGGGAGGCTTCCTCAGAACAGAGGACTGAGGCCAAAATGAACTGAGCAACTTTGGGGAAAAGGGGGGACTGCGCGGGAGTCCCTTCAAAAACAGCGCAGGCTTTCTGTTTGTGGCCCCCCTTGGAAGCTCCGAGGGGAACCTCCGCGCCTCCCCAGTCAGGTTCAAGACCAGCCTGGAGCGAAGCAACCGCCATGGAAGCTGTGAAAGGCAGATGTGGGGTTTCAAAGGCCCCTTCCTGCCCCTTCTAGGCTTCACCTCCTGGAGGCTTTGGCTCCCCTCGCTCCCCTTGGGGTTTCGGTGCAAAACAGCCCGAGGGAAAACAAGGGAGACCCCCACCCTCTTGCCAAGGGGGCACCGGGGTGGCCTGGGGAGCCTCCGCACGGACTGACCTCTCGGCCGGGGCCCACGTTCCTCCTCCGGCGGCTGGGTGGCAGCGCTGGGCAGCCTCTTCTCCAGCTGCACGATGGTCCTGGCGTGCTGCTTGACCTGCTCCTGGTACTCCGAGATCTCCCGCTGGTGCTTCTGCCTCAGCGACTCGGCCTCGGCCTCCAGGCCCTGCAGCCGCCTCTCCCAGGCCGAGAGCTTCTCTTCCGCCGTGGCCTGGCCAAGGGAAGAGGCAGGGGGGCACCACTGGGCGTGGCCTGCCCTCCCCCCAGTTACGCTGCCCCGAAAGAGCCCGGGCTCCCCCCAGTTACCTTCCCCCTCTTGGCATCTTCCAGAGAGCCCAGGCTCTCTTTCACCCGGGCGTCCAGCGTCCTCTCCAGGGCCCTCTGCCCTTCCATCGCCTGCAAGGCAGGGAGGGGAAAGGAAGCTGGGTGGGGAAGGGCCAGGCGGCCAGCCAGGGTCTGAAAAACGGCCGCAGGACGTCCAGCACAGGCAGCCGGCTTCCCCCCACTCCCCCTGCAACAAGGGGAAGGCAATGCAGGCCGTCCTCGACCTACAACAGTTGGTCGGACGTTGAACTCACACGGTTGAAGTAAGAACAGGGACTGTTCAAAGTCACAAGGACACCGGGAAAAGTGCTGTTTTCCACAGTCACAACCGTTGTATGGCGGTGTTATTAATTTAACAACTGCAGTGATCCACTTAACAAACGTGGCAAGAAAGGTCGTAAAATGGGACAAAGCCCACTTGACCAATTTCTCGCTTAGCCACATGAAGTCTGGGCTCAATNAGCCTTCCATCCTTCCGAGGTGGGTAAAATGAGGACCCAGATTGTTGGGGGCAATATGCTGACTCTCTGTAAACCGCTTAGAGAGGCCTATGAAGTGGTATATAAGTCTACTGCTATTGCTATATTGCTATTGCTATCTCTGCCATGCATGCATGGGGGGCATGTCGGGAATGCGTGTATGCATGCATGGGGGTAGGGCGCATGCACGGGGGCACTCACATTGGATTTCAGGGCCTCATGCAGCACCCCTGGGCCCTGTTTTGGCTTCCAGGTTGGCACAGAGATCTCCTCTGATGAAGAACAGCTGTCTACTCCACTCAATCCAAGGGCAAGAAGGTTTGAGTGGACAGTTGTTCCTCATCAGAGGAGATCGGCTGCTATCAGCCCCACTGCTGGTCAGCAGTCCATCCTGCTGGTCAACCAACTCCTCCAATGCCTGAGAGACCCGGGATGGTCCCAGTTCCAACTCCCCCTCCAAACTGGGCTCTGAAGGGCCCTTACAGTTGTTTCTGCCCATCCATTTTGGGCTAGTAGATTGGGGATGCTTCAGGTTCAGTCAGCCAAAGAAGGTCAGCTGGCAGGAACTAGAAGGACTTTCTCTGCCATAGTTCCTATTCTCTGGGATATTCTCACTTTAGATATCAAGATGATCCCAAGCTGTCATGTTTTGGTAAGGCCACAAAGACTTGGTTGTGTGTCCGGTCCTGTGGCCCAAGTGTGTTAAAGGCCTCACTTCCTAGCTATAGTAACATCCAAGAAGCCATAGATGGAAACTAACCAAGGAGGGAAACAACCTGGAATTAAGGAGAAACTTCCTGACAGTGAGAACAATCAACCCATGGGACAGAAGTTGCCTTCAGAGGTTGTGGGGGCTTCATCACCGGAGGCTTTTAAGAAGAGACTGGACAGTCACTTGTCAGAAGTAGTATAGGGTGTCCTGCTTGAGTAAGGGGTTAGACTACAGCAGTGATGGCTAACCTTTTTTGAATTGCGTGTCAAAAGCGGGGGGAGTGCAGGGGGTCATGCGCAGGTGTGCTACACCCATAATGCTATGCACATGACCCCAGCATGCATACGTGTGCAATCCCCCTTGTGTGCGCATGACCAGCATCCCTCCCCGCTTTTGGCACACTTTTTTCGCCCTCCCCAGGCTCCAGAGGCTTTCTAAGAGCCTGGGGAGGAAGAAAACAGCCCCCACTAAGGCCCTCCAGAGGCTTCAGGAGCTTCCCTCAAGCCTCCGGAGGGTGAAGAACGGCCGTATGAGCAACCCGAAGTTCTGGAATGGTGACTTCTGGTTTGCCCATAGTGCCGTTTTTTGCCCTCTAGAGCCTTCTGGAGGCTTCCCTGAAGCCTCTAGAGCGCAAAAAACAGCCCAACATGCAAACTGGAAGTCTGTTCCCGAACTTCCGATTTGCATGTCGGGTGGTTTTTCGTGCTCTGGAGGCTTCAAGGAAGCCTCCAGAAGGCGAAAAACGGCCCTAAAAGAAGGCCGAAGTCTGCTGGCCAGAGCACGCATGTGCGCTGGAGCTGACAGGGCAACGTCTGGCATGCCCTAACAAATGGCTCCATGTGCCACCTGTGGCACTCATGCCATAGGTTCGCCATCACAGGACTAGAGGAACTCCAAGATCCCTTCCAACTCTATCATTCTACGATTCTATAAGGCTATCCTGCCTGAGCAGGGACTAGAAGACCTCCAAGGTCCCTTCCAACTCTATTCTGTTGTTCTGCATATTCACTTTGTGTTGTTTTAATTGTTGTACTTATCTTTATGTTTTATGATATAGACCGTCCAGATTCATTTGTTGAGATGATCAGCTATAGAAATCACATACATTTAAAAAAAATTAAAATACAGTTTACATAATTGATAATGAGACAGTGGACTGGTGGCTGTTTCTTTGATAATGTTCTGCTTCTCATTAATCTATGAAGAGATTTGAACACCTCATAAATCTGTAAAAACACACGAACTTCTGTTCAGTCAGTCCTCCCAAATTAAGATGACACAGTTTGTAACAGAGCAATTGAGTGAAAATAAATATTTAACCTAGTTAATTCTCAGACTGTAGAAGCATGTCAGAATTGATGTTCATGTATTATAAAACAACCCAAGGAGAAGGCTATTTACTTAGCTCTTATAAAATTGCTGTGCTTTGCTGAATCAAGATTTGTGTTTGTGTTTTCTCTAGCAATGCTATTTCTAGATTAGCCAATTAAAACCTTAACTCTTGAATGATGTAGCTAGATTTCCTGGAGCAATACGTTGAAAACACAGCTAATGCACTATGGAAAAGTAATGTGTCATATATATACTGTATATACTCCCTAACTGGATAAATTTAAACGGATTACTTAAATAACAACTGACTGTGTGACTGTGACTCAAGGACTAAGCCAAACTCCCTTATCTTAAAAGTAAATTTATTCAGAAAAAAAGCAGAATGCCTGAACTTTTTATTACTGAAAAGCAAGTTGCAAAAATGACCCCAAATGCATATTAATTCATTTCTACCAATGTCTTATTCCATCAATCCTCAATGACTTTAAGATAAGGTAAGATAACCTTTAGATTGTCACTTTTTTCTGTGAACATACACTGGCACACATTAAAAAATGAAATTCTGATGCCTGCTCACAAAAGAATATATCCTATNGTTAGAACAATTAATCAGTGGAACAACTTGTCTCCAGAAGTTGTGAATGCTCCAACACTGGAAGTTTTTAAGGAGAGATTGGACAATCATTTGTCTGAAATGGTGTAGGGCTTCCTGAGCAATGGGATAGCAGGTTTCCTGAACAGGGGTTTTCCTGAGCAGGGAGTTAGACTAGAAGACCTCCAAGGTCCCTTCCAACTTTGTTACTCTGTTAATCACTGGCTACTAACTCACCACCTTGGTCCTTACATCCTCATCCTAACTACCGAACCTTAGAGAAGACAATTTGGCCAGGATAACATATGCAAAGGGTTCTAAAGACTTCACTGGAGTTGGACAGCCAATAAACTTATATAAATAAATAAAACTTAAAAGTATTTCGTTTCTGCTTTCCAATGCATCTAGCCCGAGTTGCAACTAAAGGAATACACAAATTATTAAAAAAGGAGAAAAAAAAACACATTGTCATCAGTAATTTAGGTAAAGGTAAAGGTTCCCCTCGCACATATGTGCTAGCCGTTCCCGACTCTAGGGGGCAGTGCTCATCTCTGTTTTAAAGCCGAAGAGCCAGTGCAGTCCAAAGATGTCTCCGTGGTCATGTACCCGGCATGACTCAATGCCGAAGGTGAATGGAACGTTGTTACCTTCCCACCAAAGGTGGTTCCTATTTTTCTACCTGCATTTTTACATGCTTTCGAACTGCTAGGTTGGCAGAAGCTGGGACAAGTAACTGGAGCTCACTCCGTTATGCAGTGCTAGGAATTCGAACCGCCAAACTGCCAACCTTTCTGACCGACAAGCTCAACGTCTTAGCCGCTGAGACACCGTATCCCTGTAATTTACTAATATTTTTTTATTTTAAAAGAGATAGGAATCTGATTATTCCTTGTGCCCGGTATTTCGGTAAATACCGCTGGAGAGGATACAGAACAAATTATTGCCTCTTTGGCATAGGATAAGGCTTGTTTGTGGTTGTTGTTATTGTGGATTTAATCCAATCTTGTGCTTCTCCGCATTTTGGTTCACGATTTTTTATTTTTATCCACATCCAAGGAAACATTTCAAAGCGCATTCAAAAACCACTGGGGGTCCTCAGACCACAACCTAAGAATCGGAGACGGAGGAATGTAAATACTTGCACATTACCGGCTAAAATAGCCCCTTCCCAGGTTTTCTTTTTGCATTCCCTTCTAATGTTGATCTCCAAGCGCCCTCTCTCCCTGTTGATATCCTGGACCAGAACAAATCTGTTTAATTACCTGCTGCATTCTTTTAGCCTCTAGCTAATCACTGATTAAACCAAATTTGGAAAAGGCTTCCTTTAATGGCTGCTTTTCCTGAAAGCAGCATGTTTTTTTTGTTTCCTCCCCAGGGGTAAATACGCACACCCTGGACTGTAAAAGCTGCTGCTAAGCCAGGATCAAAACCCTAAGCAGTGCAGGATCTCTGCAAGATCCAATGTCCTTTCCTTTTCCCCCATCCACCGTTATTTATGAAAGCAGGATGTAAAAATTGGGAGCACGTTGTTTCAAATGAACGCTTGGGGTTTTTTTTTTTAAGGAAGAGGTTGGAAACACAACAATAAATAATAGGACAGGGTGAGCCCGAGACAACACATCGATTCCATGGTTAGATCCGTGATGGCGAACCTATGGCACGCGTGACACAGATGACATGTACAACCCTCTCGGTGGACACGCCAGCCATGGCTCCAGCCCAGCTCCACTGCGCATGTGTGCATGCCTCCCTCTAGCCAGTTGGTCTTTGGGTCCAACTTTGATCTAGCAGTAGCCTGCAGTGCTGCATTTAACCACTGAGCCAAGGTGGCGCAGTGGTTAAATGCAGCACTGCAGGCTACTGCTAGATCAGCAGGTCAGCGGTTCAAAT